GGTCATTCCGCCACGATCATAAATTACTCGTGAGATAAAACTTTAACGCGGGACATAGCTATTTTGGCGTTCTAGCACTCCGCCTCTCGAGCGCTTCCTCTACAGCATTTGCTGCTTTTCTAGAATATGCTCGCGAGAGCATATTTCGCAGAACGATTCGCTCAGACTGCCGCGCGCGGAATGCACGCAAAATCCACGATTAATTCCGGTGTGTAACGGTCGCATTGCATGCATCGTGCGGAAACTGCTCACGATGTTTGTACATCGCTACATGTATTTACATACGTACTAATGTTTGCGTACAATAGAAACAAGCGCGTCGTTTGCAATATTGCACCAGTCGAATATGTCCGACGAAAGATAATGTTTCAATACAGAAACTGATGTGACGTGAATAGAGGTTATTATTAAATTTGAAGGTTTGCAGTAATCTCGTATATTTCACAAATATAAAATAGTTCAATTTAACAAGCGCGATTGTAACAGTGCAATACTTATAATTGTACTTTAAATGTTTTTTTATATCGTCTGTTACGAGTTGGATAGTAATATGTCGTAAAATCGATAAAAAAAGCTCAATTGTAAGCACTCTTTATACAAACATGTGAATTTTTTATTTAGATATATAAGTTAATTACAATATTTTTAATTAATATTATAGCAACGGCTCGAAGAACAAATTATAAGAAGGAAAAACCCAAAAAGCCTATGATCCAGGTTAGAGATGGACGTTCAAAAGTGACATAAATGCAGTATATTCCGGGACGTTTCGATCAAAATTTATTGTTGATCATCTTCAGCACTGTTTACAAAGTAAATAATAATATAATATATAAATTACTGTTTAATGTGTGTGTTTAAATTCTACGGCCGTGTAGAGCTAATGCAGGATATAGTGCAATAATTAAAACTTAAATAATTTTTTCTCAAAACGTTTCGACTTTATTTCAAGTCCTTATCAATTGAATCTAACACAAAAGAAAATTATTTACAGATAAACTTCAACATTCTAAAACTTAAAACATTACAAATAATATTACAATCTGACATACCTAAAACAATGGTGTACTTATCACATGTTAATTGATATAAAAATAAAATAATGGTGTACTTGATCACATGTTAAATGAGATAATAATGTTCAACAATATTGAAAGGGTATAGTTAGATGATTTGATTCAAAGTCACACGATTGTATAATATGTGCGTGACTCTAATAGAATCTTGCCAGGAATATACGAAGCACGGTTATGCCTTGATAGAAAATGTCGACATGGCTGCCGGTAAAGCCTCAAACAGCATTTCTTTCTTCATGAAAACCCTTCAGGACGGATATAAGAGAGAAATAGTACACTGCATTTCACTTTTAACTGAATTTACTAACAAAATGCAAAGAAAGCAGAGCTTGATGAAACTGAATAAATAATACATTTACAATGATCGTTAAATAACTCTACGCCGCAACACGTCTGGTGTCTACGTCGCTCACAGCGAGTGTCGTACATCGGGCATAAGCCGGAAAAGACCGTTCTTTCCAGCTCTTGCTCGAAACTACTGGAAAAGCGCGCACGCAGCCGTTTCCGGTACAGTGATTTCTGCAACTGCCATGAGAGCGCTAGTAAGACAGCTACCCCAAAAAGTGCTGCACTCTCACGTGACGGTCGCTTACAAATTTCTTACAATATGTTAGAGCGTCCTTCAAAAAATCAAGTCATATTTGTTCACGCACGCAATCAATACTGAGTTTAAGAACTAGGATCGAACGGAAAGAGAATCATCACTCTATGTATTAAAACGTACTTTGTCAAAAATAGGGATGTACGTATCATGTAACGCTTCAGTGTCTCTCATAAGGTTCAGACCATGTTCTTGGTTCTTAATATGTAACATTTCAGAAGTCTGTCTTTTGTAATAATTCTGTTTTATGTCTAATATTTTGACCGAATTCCATTCAAATCCATGTCCAGTCTCAATACTATGTTTGGCTACTACTGACGTATCTACTTGTCCATTCCTAACATAATTGATGTGTTCTTTAATTCTAGTCATCAATTGTCTTTTGGTTTGTCCTACATATGATGATGTGCATTGTTGACAAGAAATGCGATAAACAACATTTTTTTGTTTGTTGAATGGAACTGGGTCTTTGTTTTAATATATTTTGATAACTGGTTTAAATTACGATACGTTGGATTGATCTTTTTGTTATTGATTTTGATATGTTCTAACTTATTGTTATGATTGTAAATGTAAGGCAACACAAAAAAGAATTTATCTGTTTCATCATCCGTAGAATTTATGATATGTTTATTTAGTTTATTTGTAAACAACACTCTTAATCTCCTATTAATGATTTTGAAAATGAAACGTATTGGATAATTATTATTTATTAAAATGTTGATAATAAAATGTAAATTTTTATTGTGGAATTGAGGATCTGATAAAAGTATGGCTCTATCAACAAGAGAGTAAACAGTGCCTATTTTATGGCTGAGTGAATTCTGTGAGAGATAATTTAAATAACGGCCGGAATAAGTTGGCTTGTGGTACCAATCGCAAATCAACTTATTGTTGTCTATCATGATTAAAATATCTAAAAAATTAAGAGTGTTGTTTTCTTGTGTTTCGCAAGTGAACTGTAATCTTGTGTGGAACGAATTGAAAGTTTGTACTATTAAATCCCCTTTTTCGCAGAAGGAATTGCCATTACAACATCATCTACGTATCGTAAATAAAAAGGAATGTTAAAATTCAGCCTGTTCAATGCTTTAAGTTCCAAATCCTGCAAAACTAAATCAGCTATAATCGGAGATAGTGGAGAGCCCATTGGAGTGCCAAAAGTCTGTTTATATGTCTTATTATTAAAAATAAAATATGTGGAAGTTAAAATAAATCGTACAGCTATTATAAATTCATTTTTTGTGATTTTTGTATTTAGTTTCATGTATTTCCATCTGGAAGAAATACTTTCAATAGCTAAATCAATCGGTACGTTAGTGAACAAAGACACAACATCGAGAGAACAAAGAATGTAATCGTTCAGCAACTTAATTCCTTTTACATAATTTGTAAGCTGAAAACTATTCTTTATGAAGAATTAGGAATACTTTTAAAAATGATCTTGTGTAAAAATATTGCAAATGAATGTAACGGGCTGTTAATGGTGGAAACTATTATTCTGAAAGGAACGCCTTTTTTATGGATTTTAGGTATCCCATATGCTCTCTAAGGAGTAACAAATCGCTAGGATTTAAACTACATTTAGTATGTTGGTTAAAAAATATATATATATAAATCCATTATATATATATTATACCATCTCTTTAAAATGTCTTTGAGTTGTTTATCTATTTTTACAATACGGTTGTAATTTATAGTCGAATATGTGTCCAAGTCGCCCAACATATCATTGATTTTGTTTACATAATGAGTTTTTTGAATCGCAACGGTAGTATTACCTTTATCTGCTTTAGTAAGAAGAATATCTGGGTTATCATTTAAAAAATTGTGTGTGGCTTTAGCACTATTTAATAATCGTCTTTCCAAGTGTGTTAATGGGTTATTGTCAAGTAAAAATTTATTTAAATAAACTGAAGTACTATTACGTATTAATGCGTCAATAAAGGATCTAACTTGATAATGTTTTTCTCCACGTCTTTAATAGTTTCGATCACTACTTTGTTTTTGAATTGTTTAACAGATAACGAGAATCTTTCCCCTAATTGAACTAGCTGAATAATCTCCTCTGGAATGACTCTGTCAGTTAAATTAACAAACCATTTATTGTTAATAATACTAAGATCTTTTTCTTTTTGTTAGAATTCCTGTGGTTTAATATTAATGTTAGAACAGTGAAAAGTAGAAGGACCAAAACTGAATTCATGGTTTTGATGAAATGTATTTAGATTCTTATGTATGGTCGTCGTATTATTAATGTTACGCACATAAAAGTTAATTGGTTTGATTTGTTTGTTGTTAAAATTTCTATGGGAGATGAGTTTCTTATTTAAAACGTTTGATTTATAAAAGTAATAAGCTTGCAGTGGATTGCCCTGTGTTTTGAAAAATTTATGTAAAATGTTATTAGGAATAATATTATGTAAATTTTTGACCACTATGTTTAGTTTAATTCTCAAAGCTTGAAGATTTTGGTGGCAATCATTAATTTCAAATTTAAGGATTCTCCACTGCAGGCGGTCAATTGCACACTCTAATTTATGTTGATTCTTCTAGTGTAAAAATTTGGGAAATTTTGATCTAATATTTAGTAAATGTTTCGAAACAATGTTAAGTTTTTGGTAAGATCTTAAATAGTTACATTGTAGCGAAGTAGTGATTATGCGGTATTGAAGATTGATCCATTCCTTCATCAACAGCGTGGCAGTTTTGCTGAATGTTATCTCAATGTCCTTAAAGTATCGTCTCTTTGTTGAAGTTCGTAGTTGTGTTGTCATGTTGTCTCGCCTTTTTCAGCCAGCGGTAAATAAATACAGGGAAGTAAAGAAGTGTCACCTCAGGCTCTCTTTCAAAATTACTGTTTAATATTTAAATTCTACGGCCGTGTAGAGCCAATGCAGGATATAGTGTAATAATTAAAACTTAAAATAATATATAAAATTAAAATATACAAAGTAAAAATATGAAAAATATCCGTTACAAACAATGACATATAAATTACAAATACAAAATGAGTAAATATGTACGCACTTAGCTCGAATAGTCATCACAAAGATCGCTTAATGCACGCTGGCAAGAACCACGAATCAAAACAACAGATAACATAGACATGCTAAACATCAAAGTACAGGGTCTTTCAGATTAAACGCTCACGCAACAAACAAAAAACTCCTACAAAAATGAACCGATTTTTATTTGTTATACACGAAAAGAAAGCTTATTTTAGGATATTTTCGATGTGACCACCGTCATTTTCAACAACTCGTTTTAATCTATGAACAAAGTTCTTCATACATAACTCTAACATTCCCACTTCGATGCTATTAAAGATCTGCGCGTTGTGGATGCAACGTGGTCGTTTCATACTCGTGTGGATTTTCAGTACTCCAAATACGGCAGTTTTGTTTGTTGACATACCCGTTTAGCCAGAAATGTGCTTCGTCGCTGAACCATATGTATGGAAGATTACCGCGCTTCTGACTGAGATACGCGCCGAAGGTCGTTGCAAATGCGAGCCGTTTCTCTTCGTTGAGAGGGGAAAGCGTTTGAAGCATCTGGATTTTGTAGGGGAACATGTCGATGTCTTCCGTCATCATTCGGTACGTGGTCGAAGACGACACCCCGATCTCCTGAGCTAAACGAGTCAGACTGGTGCGGGGATTGGCGCGGACTCTCTCTTGCAACTGCTCGATGTTTTGCGGCGTGCGCGCAGTTCGTTTCGCGCCACATTTTCCAACTCTATCATCGAGAACGCTACCGGTTTGTTCGAACCTCTTCACGAGACGTAAGATTACACTTTTTTTGGGCAATTTTCGACGATGAACATTAAAACTCTTACCGTAAGAGGTCAGAGTTTGAGCGAGGTTATGATTAGTCGAGTAATACGTTTTCACAAGAAATACGCGTTCCGTTAAATCGTACATTTTGACACTATAAACAAACTTCACCGACTTAACCAGTAGCCGAATATTTTCGTCCCGAGTTGGGGAATTCAGTGTTACCATCGATGGAGCAAAAAAAAAAAATTTTTATAGGAGTTTTTTATGTTTGTTGCGTGAGCGTTTAATCTGAAAGACCCTGTATGATGTCTATGTATCGAATGTCTATATATTTACCGAAAAATCAAATTAATAAGAATAAATAATATGAAGTTAATCAGTAAGTGCGATAAAATTTGATTTACAATATGTTTCATATGTATATATTTTAAAACAAACACAAAACCAAAGAGCCTATGGTCCTGGATGAAGATGTTCAAATACAAAATAAAAAGCAGTGTATCCCGTAGATGTTTTGATCACTTTTAATGGTGCTCATTTTCAGCTGGATAAAGAACATGCTTTTTCAAATACATTATGAATTAATATATACGCACCTAGCTAGACTAGTCATTACAAAGACCGCTCTCGTGTACAACGGCAAGCACGACAAATCAAACAACAGATGACAGACATGCTAAACATCAGAGTGTGATGTCTATGTATCGAGAGTTTATACCGGAAAATCAAATAATATATATAAATATTATATTATAAACTCTTGAACTGTAAGTAAAATAAAAAGAGTTTTTGGTCAATAAAAAGTCAATATAATAATAGTCAAAGTATCTAAATGTAAAAGTCAAAAAATTATAAATCCTGTCATTACAAAAAATAAAAGTAAAAAATATAACACTAATAATAAATTGAACACTTACTTTTAACTTACAAATTAAAAACCGGATTGGAATGTCGTAGAACTCGCCAACACATAATGTATATATTTTATAATAAAATTAAATAAAATTAAATATACCTCGATGGTATAATCAAAGAATGGTACACAACCGCGAAGCCTTTGGTCCAGGAAGGAAGTGGACATTCAATATAGCGTAAAAAAACTACAGTGTATTTAGGGACGTTTCGATCATTTATTGTTGATCATCCTCACTGCAGCACTGTTAAATAACAAAATATAATTAAGAGTACAATTAAATACAATTAAAACTAACAATTTTGAATAATATCCGTTACAAAGAATGACAAAAACAGAATGAATAAGTAAACATGTACGCGCCTAATTTGACAAGTCAACACAGAACCGCTCAGTGCACGCCGGCAAGAATCAAAACTATAGATGACATAGACATACAAAAACAAGTATGTCTATGTATCACAGGTCTACCGAGAAAATATAATAAGTACTATGTGAAAGAGCATTATTTATAAGTAAAAAGTAATTATTTTAGTCAAAGCAAAGGTCAATATTAATAAAAGTCAAATGTTAAAAAGAAGTCAAATGTTAAAAAAGTCAATAGATTTAATCAATTAAAACCAAATACACTGTAGTTTTTTTACACTATATTGAATGTCCACTTCCTTCCTGGACCAAAGGCTTCGCGGTTGTGTTTTTTTGTGTTTTTTCATTCTTTGAATCTATTTTATAATGTTTATTCACGAGTAAAACTATCTTGTTCTATCGACACACAGACCTTCGTCATTGAATTCCTCACATCGCATATCATGATTTCTACCGCGTAAGAAACGCGCGTCAAGCACCACGCAAAGCAAAGCATTGAAAAACCGTTGAGCGCTCTCACAAGAAACTCTGTTCTTTCGTTTTCTATCGACTACCTGCGCGGCTCAGTAATCACGATCTAATCTTATCGAAAAAATTCCGAATGCTTCTGCTGCTTGCTGCTTCGAGAGGCGATATGCCACGCGGGCTAATTAAAGTCGGCCAAGATGAAATATCGAGATACGTTTCGTTTTCTCTCTCTTTCCCTTCGTCACAATACGTTTTTATCTGAAGAAACAAAAGAAAAGCTCTGCTTGCACATTCCAGTATACGTTCAACGATCTTGTTCTTTATTTTGTACTAACGCGGTTCATTGGTAATAACCATTCAATGAATATTCTGTCAAAAAAATTCAGTATCACGGATTTCTCACAACATGTAATTTGATAAACTCTCGAAACGTCGCGATTTATCTACTAAAGTCAGTTGCAATATCGCATTTTCTATAATTTATACCACATTTTTCTATGATTCGATACACATTGTTTTGCATTCTTAAACATAAATATTGGATCAATGTACAAATACTAAAAATTTTAAGAAATTTGCTTCATTATTTCTATTATACATTGTTATATTAAGAATTATTTATTAGGTATCTTTGTATATCTATGAATAATTCAAAATTTCATTTTCGCAATTTCTTGAAAAGATAGAAAGACACATTATCCGCAACAGATGAACAAAAACATACAAGTTGACTGAACAAATACCTTTCTCAGAAAAGTAGTATATTTTCTAAGCAGGCAATACAACTCTGTCGAAACAATCCTGTAAAGAGATATCTGAAAAGTGAAAGAACTTTGAAAGCGCACAAAATGTTCAATCAAGTTTTGGTGGTATCAGCTCTCGTATCTTAGCGGTAAATTTCAAAACGCTAGAGTAATTAGATCGACCGACCGACCGACCGACCGACCGACCAACCAACCAACCAACCAACCAACCAACCAACCAACCAACCAACCAACCAACCGACTGACAGAGTGACCGACTGACCGCACTCAGTCAGGCGTTCAATTGGTCTTCGAAAAATGCTCATTAGTGTTCAGTTTGTGCAAGTATGATGCACTGCAACGTTATGTATCTACCAAGGCTGCATTCCATTTGACGATAGCAACATTATTTATATACATATAAATAATTATTATTTTAACACCACGTTTTTCTCTTTTTGTTTTATTTAACATATTTTGTGCAGATAAATACTCAATATTTGTTTTTTCGTTTTCTGCATTTGTCTTTTCATTTCGCGCGGGAGCGAGTAATTTTCATAAGTTTAATTACCACAGTGGACGTGAAAATAGCTGACTAATTGTCTTCTCTACTCGGTATATTCAGCCTTTTCACAGAGTGACTCTTCACAGTCATTTTTCTTTGCGCGCGCGAGTATTTCATTAACTATGATTTTTATGTAGTGACGCGGACTGCTGCGCCATCTGCTGCGGAACGCTATTATGCTTTTGTTATTATTTGCTCGTGCGCGCTCCAAAAGCAATTTAAACTATTATTTTGCAAAACCCATATCCGCGGACTGCGCGCGGCAACTAACTCGCGCCAACTTATGAACTACGTATTGCGTCCCGAGTTGTATCAAACAAATGATGTCAAACGCGATTACACACACATGAGCGCTAGCTTTTGTTAAACACAACAACGATAATTTAACAATACCTACATTGCGGAATATACAAACGCACAACAACAAAACACATTATGCACAACACATACATACACACACACGCTAGCGTAAAACAGTAAAAATTAATAAAATAATAATAACTATACAAGAATTGTTACTCTCTTTTCTCTCTCTCTCTCTCTCTCTCTCTCTCTCTCTCTCTCTCTCTCTCTTTCAAGTAAAATTGAAATATTAATAATTATTTTAAAAAATATAATATATTGCATTTTTGTTGATCAAATACGCAGGGATTTATGTTTCGCGATTTCGAGAATTCTATCAATAAAAAAATTAAGGGAAAAAACAAAAGGAAAACAATATTAACAATATTAAGCTTTTTAATACTGCATGTGACTGCATGAGATCAAACGAAATAATTAGCAGTGAATACGCAGCTGCAGTAGCTACTAGCTGAGTAGACGAGTTTGCTTGATATATGCAGGTCATGACGACTGAGTGTACATATACAAAGCACGCGTATATGCACACGGTGACCACGGCATCCAAGACAATAAGTCACGCCTGCAAATTGTAATGAATTAATCACACCGTATATGAGACTTCCCTTTCCTCTTCCTGTTAATCTTCTCTTTCTATCTTACGCTCATAGCCTCTTGCTAATTTCTCTTCGCTTTTCTATTGTGCATCGTGACATGTTACAGACGATTATGAGAATGTGTAATGCACGTTTGTAGAAAAGAATCGATTCGCGTGGAAATCAATATTAAACCTTCGCTGCAGAGATAATTATTATTTTCTACGCTGTACAAAGAAGATGATATTGTTTAGCAAACATATTAGCGTTAAAAACTAAAATAGAAAAAACTACTATTGTTTTTGTGTAAAAACAGAAGAATAATATTCCAGTCTTTTGAAAACATCTGATTTGTTTTGTTGAATATATAGACTCTGTTTAAATGTATATAACTAAAATATATTTAATTTAGTAAGATAATTTAATAAGAGACAGAATAATAATGTTGATAACATTTTGAATACAATCCAACAATAGTTGAATTGTAAGAAAAGTGCATACTTCGTGATAATGGCTTTATATTTAGGGAATTGTTTTCCAACGTTTTTGCGCAAATAAAGCAATGTAATAGAACGCCGACTTACTTCTTGTTCCTGTGGGATTCGTCGCCGATAGCCAAAACTATTCCGAGAAATTAGTTGGAAAATTAATGTCCGTAGTTACGTGAGAACGAGATGTACTCGCAAGTCGCTTCCTCTCCACACAACTAATGATCACGAGAAGGGACTAAACTGTGTCTGCTAATGAATTACTTGTAAAAAGTGATACTTGTAAATAGTAAATAGTAACCCTGACACAAGTAAAAATTCCATTCAATAAACACGCTTAACTCAAAATGTCTTTTAATTTTTGTAGTTATATATATATATATATAAATGCAATTCTATCTTTAATAAAGAAATTTTTACTTTCTCTATCTATATAAAATTATAAATTACAGAAGTTTTTTTTACAAATAAATCAAATTTTTCTTGGAGTGTGCGAATATATCTGGAGAATCTCGCCGTAAGATACAGGCGAAAGAGAAGCGGATGGCGACGTCTATCGGAAAACTACATCGGGAATTGCACTTTTAGACAAGCCCAAGTTTTCGTAGGAGAAAAAATAGAAGAAGAAACGAACGGAAAAACAACTCCGCGGGGAATCGACGAGAA